GCCACAGTACAGTTAATGTCGCACGGAAAATATTCGCTAAAAATTCTACTTTAATTTGTAATTTTTTTTTGGTGGATAATGCGTTTATATAAGTCATAATAGATCACCTAAATAAATATGGCGAGGATTGAAATCAACACCCTGTATATTTTACCTAACAATTTTTTTTTTTTTTTTTTTTTTTTTTCAAAATAAAATTTAGCCTATGTTACTCGTGGATAAATGTAGCTTTCGAATGGTGAAAGAATTTTTAAAAACGGTCCAGTAGTTTTTGAGCCTATTCATTACAACCAAACAAACAAATAAACAAAGTTTTCCTCTTTATAAATTAGTATAGAAGTATAGATTATGAACTGTCAAATGATTACGATTGCTTAACACAATTCCACCTCAGATGATGATGGTTTTCCTGCGATGGAGACCAAAACGATGACGTAATATAAAATTATATCAATCAAGGGAGTCCTGCCGGGCTAGGCTAAAATCTTATGAACTTATGGTGATCCGTCGGCTCGTTTGCCTCCTGTCACATAAAAAAAAAACTTATGCGTAAAAACGTTAAAATGTCGCGATGAAATCTAATCGAGGCGCGCATCCAGCCTATAAAGTCAATTATGATGACTAGTGTAAACTTAACCAGGCTAAAAAAAAATATTACTTTTCAACCTTATCTTCACAGCATAAAGTTCAAATTAATACGGGCTCTATGGCCACTAGAACTTGGTTAAGGGTTAAAATAATTGTTCCTGTAATTAACGTGTATATTATTTCCCCAGGAATTCACCGACAGCGAATTCACCAAGTGGCACGCGGCCATCCGCGACGCGAACAAACGCGCTCCAACTATGGACTACGTTCGTTCCAAGATCGCTGAAGTCCGCGACGCGCTTATGTACGAGTTTAAGGTCAGTTATCGACTATATATACTCTATAATTATTTTAATTTTCATACAAAACGGATTTTATAAAATTTATTTTGTATGAAAATAAAAAAAAATAAAATGATTATATCAAATTTCTGACTTCACCATACCATTTATATGACCATGTTAACATGGCCTAGTGTCGGCTCATATAGCTATTTACCTAACACCCTGTATAGAGTTACTAGCTTTCCGCCCGCGGCTTCGCCCGCGTGGAATTTTGTCTGTCACAGAAAAACTATCGCGCGCGTCCCTGTTTCAAAAACCGGGATAAAAACTATCCTATGTTCTTTCCCGGGACTCAAACTATCTCTATGCCAAATTTCATCAAAATCGGTTGCGAGGTTTAAGCGGGAAAGCGTAACAGACAGACAGACAGAGTTACTTTCGCATTTATAATATTAGTTGGGATAATTATTTTAATTTTCATACAAAACGGATTTTATAAAATTTATTTTGTATGAAAATAAAATAAAAAATGATGATATCAAATTTCTGACTTCACCATACCATTTATATGACCATGTTAACATGGGCTAGTGTCGGCTCATATAGCTATTTACCTAACACCCTGTATAGAGTTACTAGCTTTCCGCCCACGGCTACGCCCGCGTGGAATTTTGCCTGTCATAGAAAAACTTTATCACGCGCGTTCCTGTTTCAAAAACCGGGATAAAACCTCCTATGTCCTTTCCAGGGACTCAAACTATGTCTGCCAAATTTCATCAAAATCAGTTCATTGGTTTAGGCGTCAAAGAGAGACAGACAGACAGAGTTACTTTCGCCTTTATAATATTAGTAAGGATATACGACAACACATCAGAGCACATATTTTTATTGAAAAATCGACCTTATTACAGCTACATAAGATGACACAGTGATAGCTTGGTGTGCTGTACAATGAATTTAAACTTAAGATTGTCACACACTTTCGGTCAGTTTTTGGATGTCATCACTTATTTACGTAACCCTCTCATTTCTTTGAAACAATAATGAGGCAAGACCTATCACAGTGTATTTTGAATTTCTTTCAGTAGTAAAAAGCTACATTATTCCTGAGTTACATTAAATATAATCCAAAGGCGAAGCCGTGGGCAAAAGCTAAATGTATTTGTCTAGACATTGATGAAATAGGCTAGTTTCCTAAAAAAATTTTTTTAGATCGTCAATTTTAATATAAAAAAATATTGGACACGTATATTTTTAATTGTCAATCAAACAAATAATTACAAAGTTATAGTGCATTGAAGTTCCGCGCGACGTCACGAAGTGCTGCACTTTTATGCACTTACTGACGTCACGGGCCTTTTCTTTAGAACTTTGGCACGCTTTATCTCTTTACATTTTCATTAGTTTTAAAAAGTGAAAAATAGGTGTCGACTTGTCGAGTAGTTTTTGATAAGCTAACTGACGGACTAATTAAAACTCTTGCTTTTTTACCCAGGAAACATCCCTATACTGTACAAATCAATAAATTAATCTTTTATTATATTCACAGGAAGAAGACATAGAGAAGATAGTAGCCGAGAAAGATAGATTCCGCTCGCATCCCACCAACTACGCCATGAAGAAGACGCAGCTCATGAAGGAACGCGACGTCGCGCAGCTCAGGCAAGTCCCAGGTTCCGTTCCCAGCAGGGACACGAAAACTTACTATTGCTTTATTGTAGCCAAACTTATTCCAGTAGGTACTTCACAGGGTTCAAACTACTGTTGGGATTGTATTTACCAAGAAAACCTTGTATAAACCATGTGAAACATTAAATAGGGTTATGATAGCATATTCGCGCCTATCTCAAAAGTGATGACAAATCACTCTTTAAAAACAGTGCAAAATACTAGGAGTATCAAGTACATCCGGGCATTTAGGGAAGGCTCTCGGTTTTGTTAGGTATGGTTATTTTCCACTATCTTTATTTGTATAATTTTTAAATGTGATTATATCATTTCCTTATCAATCTATATATATAAAAATGAAACCCGTTTCGCGTTGTCACGGCATCACGTGTGAACGGCTGAACCGATTTCGATAATTCTTTTTTTTAAATGTTTGTGGAAGTCCAAGGATGGTTCTTACGGAAAAAAATATTAAGAAAATCTCTACGCTAAGGCGGTACGAAGTTCGCCGGGTCAGCTAGTAAAGGCAATATAAATACAGAATTTTATTGTGCTTTAGTTCAGACAGTCAAATACAAATCATTATAGGCGATTAAAGCTAAGCGTCCACTTGTCGGTATCGTATGCAACGGACGCATCGTACGAAACACATCGTATCGGATGTGCGATGCGTACGATGCGGACAGGTGGACGCACTTATATAAGTTTCCATATAAATAATACTACGATTCGTTGCGTGCGATACGTCCGGTGCGTACGATACCGAAATGTGGACGCTAGCCTTAAATATTCATGTGGGGCACAGAATAATAATAAGTACTACGTACAGAAGTTTTACTTCGCGAAGGTATTTAAAAAAATGTATGCTCAATGTCATTAACAATATGGTGTAATTTAGCCTGTCTCAAGAGTCAAGCACCATTTTGTTGACAAACGTCAGTGATCGGCACTGCGCCGAAGCTATAGGGCTGACTTCGGTAAAATGATGTGACGTGAGGTGCCAAACTGCGGAAAATGGCGGAGGAAATACATGATTTAGCATGAATTATCATGAATAATTCCAACGCCTTCCTGCTACCTTTATGAGGTCGTCGGTCCACCCACAAGGTGGCTCGGTGTCGCTTGTCTCTTGCTGCGTTTTCCGGTACATGGCCTCTACTCCAGAACCTTGCTGCCTCATTGTTAGTGTTTTATATTTATTTGGAAAGCCGAGGATGGACCAGGAATAAATACTTGCGACCTGATGCACATATTTGTGCAATTTCAGGCAGAGGACTGTTGCCAGGGGACTGTGTATTTCGGCTAGATTTCACAATATTTACGAAAATGATGTTAAATAGTGTTTTAAGAATTTACCGATCAATTGAGACGTAAATATTATATCAATTTATACTTTATTTAGAGATTATTAAGTAATTAACATGCATATTATGACTTACCAGAGGACTGTGTGTGGTAGCGATTCAAGCGCGTGTTCACCTCACAAATGACGCTCTGACACTAAAAAAATAGGCATCTCAACGCCGCATTCGGCAAGGTTGCCTATTTTATAGCAATTGCATTTCATTTCACTCAAAAAAAATATCGTAGCTATTATAGTTTTTTTATATTATGAATTTAAATTTTTGGCAGGGGACTGTATTAAAATTCTGGGGACAAAGTTTACAGGAGTTTACTAAATAAATAAAATTGGTAAAGAGAGCTTGTTTTACGAAAATAATATAATTTCATTATTATTCTTTATGCTATGAGCTGCCAGATGTATGTAGTTTCAATATCTTCTTCGTAAATCTCATTTCTAGGATGAAAAACAGTGATGGGGACAGCCAGGGGACTGTATTTTTCGGGCTTCAATCGAGTCTAGAAAAAAACTAAAAATAGTTATGGTTCTAAAAACAAAGGGCCCGTAAAGTTTTGGGGTTAAAGTTTCATTACGAGTGTGTTTTTTTAAAATATTTCAATTGCTTTTTGAAAAAATCGGCCGGGACAGCCGATTACGAGCTTACAGAGAATCGCCCTTATATTTAGTGGGCAGGCCTCCTACTAGGTAGACCGACGATCTGGTAAAGGTCGCGGGAAGAGCCTGGATGCGGGCAGCGCAGGACCGTTCATTGTGGAAAACCTTGGGGGAGGCCTTTGTCCAGCAGTGGACGTCATTTGGCTGAAACGAACGAACGAACCATTTATTTATATTACTCTTTCTCAGAGATAAAATAAACGCATGTGTTGCTCTCTAAAATAAAAGGTTTATTAGATATTAATAAATTTCTCATTGAAATAAACTAAATTCCTCATTCATTGTAAATCTTGTGAGAAATAAAGATCTTAAACCATAACACAAACTTGTAAAATAAAAGAAACTACATTTAAAGTTTCTTCATATTTTCCACAATGACTTTTGACTATGATATTCATTTGACAGACATCAAAGTCAGTTCAGAACCATAGACCTTAAAGTAAAGTATTTACTTTACTAATATTACATAATGATTTAACGAATGCTCCTGACAACGCCACTCTTGTAGCGGAGTTTTGGGCTGACACTATGTATGTATGGTTTGTTGTCGTGTATATTTATGTACACAATAAAGTTTGTATTATGTATGTTTATGTACACAATAAAGTTTGCATTGTTCTCAATTTTACAATAGAAGGAATTATTTTTGTATGTTCAATACCTCAGGACGATTTGATTCAAAGTTCTTCCAAAAGTGGAGATATCCTCCATTCCATTTGAGCATTGGAATCGCCTACTATGATAATGTGCGTATAATCTTTAAGCCCTTCAAACCCAAATCGACACAATAGAAATCAATGTTACACGGTCTTAAGCGACCACTTGAGGTTTGATAGGTTACACCATCATCATCATCATTTCAGCCACAGGACGTCAACTGCTGAACATAGACCTCCCTCAATGATTTCCACATCGCCCGGTTAAACTAAAAGTTATCAGGAAGGCGCAGGATGTAGTGGATGCAGGTTATGACCTTGTATAACATTATTGTTGTATTTTCCAGCCGCAAGAGCCCGAGAAGCCTAAAGCCAAGCCGGCTGGCGACAACGCGAGCCTGTATTCGCTGCACGACTTCGAAATCAACATCGACCTCGACCTGCCCGTTGCCAGTGAGTATACTTTATAGTAGCTTTAAATTAT